CTGCCTTATCTTGGGGTTATAGAGAATCTCAGCTACAGAGTTATAAGCAATAATCCATCCAGCCAGATGGTCACTAGATCTTTTTAAGTATCTTAAACCCAGCACTACTGGAATAATTTCAGCCACTTTCACTGTGTATTTTCTTTTCTATAAAGACCAAAGATTTCAGTGTGCTGCTGTGGATGTCTGTACGTACTCCATAACGTGAGTATGGGAGCTCATTCTGTTGGCATTAGCTAAATGTTTTGCTCTTGTGTCATCCTCGTTGGAAAAGCATGATTTCTCATTTCTTCAACTACACAAAACTCATAACCATTTGCAGATGCTAATACCATGTCAAATCTGTGTGCTTTGGTTACAGGCAGGACATAATTTTCTCATGTGCCCACCTTACTGACAGCACATAGCACATACCTCCTTAAAAGTTTGGTGGTGGCACACACCTTTAATGCCAGCACTCAGGAGGCAGAGGCAGGTGGATCTCTGTGAGTTCAAGGCCAGCCTGATCTATACAGTGAGTTCCAGGACAGCCAGGGCTACACAGCAAAACCCCATCTCAAAACAAAACAAAAAACAAAAAAGCTTGACAAGCATCAAATACAATCTGTGTTCCGTCCAGTGTGGTGGAAATGTTAAGTTTTCTGGGAAAACACAGATTCTGCCTTTATACCACTCACAATGTGGTTGAATAATATACACTTTGGAATTTTTTAAATTTATTTTCACTTCATTTATATGAGTATTTTACCTGCACGTATGTGTATATACCACAGCAGTAGTTTTGGGTGAAGATATGGAGGTTGGATGATCAGATTGGAGCAGATTAGACCATATAGATGAGATAAGAGACAACAAAAATAACATTGCAGATAAACCTTTCTGAAAGTTTTGCTGAGAAAGAAGGAAGAGAAACATGACTGGACTGCACTTAAAGGCAGACATGAAGTCAGGGGACAGAGTAAACTACCTGTGAATCTATGAGGAATGTGAACTTCATTGCAAGTTGGTGTCTGCCTTAACCTAAGGTCTCCAAAAATGTCTGAACAAAGACTTACATGTGAGTGGTTTATGTATGCATACAAACTCAGAGAAAGGATGTGGATGGAAAAAATGAAAGAAATGGAGAAAGGGGAAACATTAAATCAAGACTATATTATCATACCCCGGCTTGGTGGTGTGGGTCTAGAATCCCAGCTACTTCAGAGGGCTCAGGCAGGAGGATGGCAGTTTCAAGGCCTTTCTGGACTACAGCATGAGTTCAAAGTCAGCCTGGGCAACTTAGAGAAACACTGCCTCAAAATAGAAAGTGAAAAATTGTTCAGGGTATTACTAAGTGGTAGAACAGCTGTATGCATGATGCCCTAAGGTCAAGGCCAAGTACTCTAAAGGGATGAGGGGAAGAATGCACTCTCAGCCCAGTATGTTCCAAACCTATATGCTGGTATAGTACCAGACAGTTGGGGCTCAGTCATGCTGCAGTCCTCTAAGATATAGTGTAAAATGTATTTAGAATTGTTCATACATGAAACACAAGAGGAGAGTTCCACACCAACCAGGAATTTTCCACTTCAGTGTTAATTCCCAAGCGTTTCTGGACTTGTCAAGGCCTCAAAATGGCTTATCAGGTTTCTATAAATGCCAACCTTAAAAGCAGCATAGAATTCCAGGACAGAAAATGAAAGCCACTCAGTACAGCTGAGGCAAGCATCTGCCATGTTAAATCTAACAGCAGCCTATTGCCATGGCAACAGCTAGAGTAAAAGTTGAGCTAAGAGGAGGTGAAATGGCAAAGAAGTGTTTGGTAGAATGTCTACCTTGCTGATCGCAGTCCACACACTCTCTGGCCTGGAGGGATAAACTTACTCATGTCTCCTTCATGCCAGAGTTGACATGCAGGTTCTCATGACTACTGGCCTCCAGGCCTCCCTGGCTCTGCTTAAGACTAATTACCCCAAATAGCAAGTACCTGACAAGCAAATTAGCCAAATTCGAGTTTTGATATAGTCCTGGTGACAGAAACAAGCAATGTTTCACAAACATCAAGCAATTACCCCGGTATTTATGAGCACACACTGCATTCCAGACCTAGACACAGAGGAAGATTATCAGAAACTCTTAAATATGGTGGGTGCTCTGATGTCTCCTCGGGAGAATACTGGAAGAACACTTGGGAAGAGATCTGAAAATAAGAAGTTTGGATCTGATGAAAGAGGACTGTGTTGAGTCGTGGGTCTTAAAGTTACTCCAGTACTCCCGGCAGCACTGAGGGGAATCTCAGGGGTTACTGGAGAGCAATGGTGAAAGCTATTTTGGCGGACACTTCCAATTTCAAACACTAACGGAGGCTGACACTGGGCCATGAGGTGACTTTTATTTTCTCCTGTAAATGTCTCTCTATATTTTTTATAAGTCTCATAATAAATAAATAAATAAATAAATATATATATATTACTTTGGTATGAAATAATAAGGATAGCTTTTGAATAACCAAAGTATGTAGAGCAACTGGCACTCTCACACATTGCTGGTTGACTACAAAATGGTACACTTGTTTAAAAAAAAGAGCTAAACTGCTTTCTGTTTAAACATATGCTTGCCATCTGACCCAGAAATCATACTCCAAGGCGTTTACCCAACCAAGAAAAAAAGAAGCCTATATTCTCTCTCTCTCTCTCTCTCTCTCTCTCTCTCTCTCTCTCTCTCTCTCTCTCTCTCATTCTCTAGCTCTCGCTCTCTCACTCTCTCACACTCTAGCTCTCTCTCTCTCTCTCTCCTTCTTTCCTCTCCCTTACCCAGCAGACATCAGCCATATACTTGCATTTAAAGCCCCTTTTATATGTATGTGATACACTGTATAAACATAGGAACATTAATGCATTTAACCACATATTTTTTCCACACAAAAAAACCTGAAATTTCAGCTGGGAAATAGATAAGCAAGTTGAGAAGCATTCACACAAAGAAACCCTTATTTAGCAACAAAAAGCAAGGAACTACCAAAACACACACCATGGGAGGATTTCGAACACACCACGCTGAGTGAAAAGCCAGCCAGCCTCAAAAGTCATCCACTGTCTGATTCTATTTTGGAAAATGTGATCTAGTAGAAAAGGCAAAATCATAGCCACAGAAAACTGGTGACTGGTGGTTGGGATCTGGAGGTTAGGAAGAGGTTAAATGCAAAATGAAGATACAGGGGAAGGGACCAGGGCCATGGCACTGCACTGTATCTGGGATGTGGTGGGGACCACATGTCTCTATGCACTTATTTTCACTCATTGACCTCAACACCAAAATATCCATATCTCTGCATGGAAAATTTATTTTGAGACAGGGTCTCACCTATGTAACCCTGATTGGCCACAAATTGCAATTTTCCTGCGTCAGCATTCTAAGGACTGGGATTCCAGGCCTGAGCCATCATATCCAGCTTTTAATTTTTAAAGGAAAATTAATGTCATAACAAATCCTCCAAACGATGATATGAATAACCCCTTTGGTCCAGTAAAAGGCAAGAGGTCATTCTGATTTTGATGGAAGTATTCAAAAGAAAAGCTTATCAAAAATGAGTTCTCCATGTAACGTTAGGAGCCAAGTGGGAACACGGCCTCTGAGAATCATTGCAAAAATCTATAGACAGGATGTACTGACTCAAATATAGATGCAGGGAACAAAGCATCAAAATCCAGTGTAGAGCTTTGGTCCTTCACAATGATGTGTATATTGATAAGGGTTCTTCAGGATGCAAGCAACAAAGACAGGCCGTCATTTAGCCAAGAAACACACAGAAAAGAAGTGGGAGAAGAACTGTACTGGAAAGGCTTTGAGCAACTCGCACTAGGGAAATGCCAGAAAGTGGTGTTCGTTTTCATGTGTCACTAGACAACTCAAGCCACTGAGTAGCAATCACTTCCTCCAAAATGTCACCCAGCGTCAGGAAGGTGTAGCTGGACACCACCACCTCACCCAGCATTTCCTCTGACTCACTTTCTACTCTGAAGGATCATCAACACTATGGTAAGATCTACCCATCCAAAACTCACTGGGTATTCACAAATACCTCAGCTAGAAGTAGGGTATTAGTAACACGCTACTGCCTTTGACCATCAAGAGATAGGAATCCCTTACCTCACTGCACACTCTTCCATCAGAGCAATAATTCTGATGCAGGTTAAAGAGATCTCCTAAATCAGGTCCTTGAGATTAAGGAACTGGCACCAGTAGCAGTGGCCAACACCATCACTCATCCTGGTGCTGACTGGCTTTCTCCTCCCCTGCTTCCTGCTTCCTGCCTTGGATGCTCTGAATTTACAGCATCCATTCCATCAGCCATGGACAGCTTTCATCTCAGACTCTCAGGCTTTGATTCCCATGGAAGCTGAACACTGGGAAGGATCCAGGGTAGGTCTGCCGTCATAAGATGGAGGGATTTTTTTTAGAACCATCTCTGGACTGGTGATAGCAGAAAACTTGTCTCCAATCAACAACAACCACTTTCCAAGAGAGAGTTGAATTGACCCTTCGTAGCTTACTTGTGTACCCTGAAGTCAAAGAGTGTGAAACTCTCACACCGTAACCCCAACAGAACTTCTTTGAAAGGGGAAATGCTAGTTCTTCATCAAGTATACCAAGGCTGGAAACTGGGGTAACTTGGGAAATTTGGTTATCTCATAGTAAGTTACTTCTGAATAGTGCTAATTTATCAATGTTCAAAAATAAAACACTATGTGAATGACAGTAAGACATCTCCACCTTGTAAAAAAAAAATTGTAAATTTCTTTGCTCCAAGGAATAAACACTGACTAGATCCTGGTTAGAGTCTTAAAACATAAAGCAGATAATAAAAGTATAATTTAGATATATTGGCGTACTCTAACAGGTTTTTCTGACAGTCTACAATTGGTATTTTGCATTTGGAAGGTTCGGGCTCTGACAAATGTTTACATTACAGTTTCACATACCCTCACTCTCACTTTGTCTCTCTCTCTTTCTCTCTCTAGGTTAATATCCAACACAGGCATTAAGCACTTGCCAGTAGTTCATAAGATTCAGTCTCTTCAAAAGGTTCTATTGTAAGTTTTGATTGACAGGATGTCAATCAGCCCTCCATCTAACAAATGCCTGAGATAACAGACTTACAAAGAGAAAAAGATTGCCTTGGTTCACTTTCCCAAGTTTGAATAAATGGTTGGTTGGTCCCGGGCCTTGGTCTTATTGTGGCCTTCTGGATCCCTAACATCCATCGAGTAGTGCATCCTCCAAACTCCTGGCTCTGGGTGAGCAGAGGGAGGAAGACAAACAGAAGCTGGGCTGGCAAAGTCCCATTTGAATGAAGTTAACAGACTCTGCACCAAGAATTATCAGCAAACAGCCTTAGAACCAAATCATACAGTGAGATCCCCGCAACTCCTCATACTCCTCCATCATTTCCCCTCACTTCTAGAGTCCCTGTATTTCCCTGCCTGGGAGAGTCTTACTAAAGATTAGTAACAACTATTTTCCCTTTTTCTATGAAACCTGTAGTTTAAAAGAGGAGAAGAAAAGGCAGTGTGTGTGGAGCTAAGACAGAGCTCACGGTAGAGTATTTGTCTAGTAGGCATGAGTATCAGGGTTTATTCCCAGCATAGAAAGAGAGATGAGGGGGAAGGGGAAGGAAGGAAGGAAGGAAGGAAGGAAGGAAGGAAGGAAGGAAGGAAGGAAGGAAGGAAGGAAGGAAGGAAGGAAGAAAGAACTTTTTTTCCAATAGTCAACTTGTAAGAATCTGAGCAGATAGGTCCCAAGGGCAATGGGCAGGAGGGTGTAAGGAGCTGAGGATGGAGGACAAAGGAAGTCCTCCAGACCTCTTGTGCTATTTCCAGTTGTTAGCATGTCTGCTGTTACATGTTCACCAGACCTAATAGGTCAGTCTAAGAGGAGGATAAGTAAAACAGACAGGAAAAGTTCTCTGTCCTTTAACGTGAGAAGGAAAAAGTCAGTAAGAAATTTTTTATGTGGCTCAAGAAAAAAAATTGATGGAAAAATAAAACAATATGTAAGAGAAAGGAAAAGGACCTGAGGGATAACTCAGATATAAGTGATTGACTCATAAGCAGGAGGGCCTTAGCCTGACCCCCCCAAACCCCTGCTTTTTAAAAGCCAAGCATGCACCGCCATGTCTATCGTCCGGCACGAAGGAGGTAGAGGCAGGACACTGGAGATTTGCTGAGCAGCCGGCCTATACTGCTAGGCTGGTTCTAGGCCAGTGGCAGATGGTGTCTCAAGAAAAAGGCGGGTGCTATGACCTGAGGAATGACCTGAGGCTGTCCTCTGGCCTACACACACACATACCAAGAAAGTGCTAGATGGATGAGAAAGGAGGAGATGACACAAAATGAGTAGAGTGGGCGGTCTGTAAGGAACAGGTCAGTTCCTGGGTCTGGCCTACTGAGCGGAGACCCCCTGTGGAAAGGAAGCTAAAAAAGAACTGTACTGAAGAGCGCCTCAACACAGGGACCCCCTCTAAGGAATCCTCCAAAGAGAAGAGGTTCTACAGGTGTGCAATTTCGTCTTCGAGAAGAACTGACACACGACAGATAAACAGGCTATCTGTTGCCCAAACCTGGAGCTGTTGTCCTCTGAACAAAAATTCTATCAAAGTGTTGTTGCAGCTGCAGCTCATTTGGTGCGGCAAACTGAATGTGCAGAGGTTACCCAGGTGGAGCCCACACAAACGTCTAATTTGTCTGCTCTTTCTTCTTAGAGACGTTCAAGATAACATCAACATCCACACCATTGCCAGGAATTCCTTCGCGGGGCTGAGCTTTGAAAGCGTGATTCTGTAAGTAAGAGGGGAAACCCAATGGCCTAGCCCTTGAGTACCTGCTTATTGATCTCCGGTTTCCTCATAACGGCCGATGCCTTTGTCTGTTTGTGTAATAACATTGGCGATTCACCATCTCAATCATTCTATGGCGCCTGTGCTTTCCTCTCATTTTTATATCTCAGAATCGCAACATGGAGTCATGTTAATAATTCATGATTCTGTAGTGTGATTCAAGTATTTAAAATTGTTCTTTGAATGATGGTCTCCCGTGATGCAGCATCTGCTCCAAAGGACAGAATAGCTTGTGTGTCAATAAAGCTCATTACTGCCTGGCAAGGCTTCTGTTGCCTAAATAGAACGATGGGGAAGGAGGTGGACTCTGGAGACTGGGCTTCTTCCTCATAATCACAGGAAGCAGCTCCCATTCGGGCCCATGCTGAGCTCACAATGATGGTCTTCTTTGCTTGGAATAATCACACTTGCTAATGAGCTTGAGTTAATCTGTCTGAATTCCGGGGAAAGTTTTTGAATACACTCAGTGTCATCAATGAGTGGCCTTCTAATCCTCTGTGTTAGTAACTGGCATGGCAGTCCACCCTCTCCTCAGGATAGTCAGAAAACGAGGTATCGTGAACGTCCCAAGTGTTCACAGAATCCTTGCCACTCGGATGCACTGAGTGACAGCTGGAGAATCACTGATTGCGATTACACCTGTGAGAAAAGAGTTCCACCTTCCTGTTTGATAAATTGCTATGGGTTCACTTTATACCGTGATTTCTCGTGATTTTGTTTTGTAAACGGACTTCGCTGTGTGCATCTCTCCTAAAGCGGTAAAAGCTACACAGATACTGATTCGCCACTTTGTTTATGGGCACTGTGTGACTCCCCAGAGCTCAGCAACACACTTTTAAGAGAGGATACCTTTCTCTTGAGAGTCAACATTTTCCAGACGTGTCTCTGAGAGATAAATTCACATTTGTGAGAACAGCATCTATTTTCTTACGTTGTCTGCTCCTTAATCCATAGATAATAGAGTCAGAAGACTCCTACTCAACACAGCTGTAAGTCTCCGGTTGTTCTTTGTCAGGATACTTTTAATACAGAGATGTTTTCTCCTGGGAGAGCCATCCAGTGCACTCGGGGAAAATATAGCAAACTGGTGCTGAGCACCGAAAAGCTCTCTACTTCATCACAGCTTCAAAACTTCGGAAGTCCTACTCTAAAGACAAATGTACATATTTATTTTTTTCTGAAATCCTAAGATTATCCGGCCCTTGGCAACTGACTTGAAAAAAAATGAGCAATAAAAACACATTTTCTATGGGCTTTGAGCCCTTTCTCATCCACTTCTGTCACAAAAAGCAGAGAGGCTACTGGAGAAATGACTTAATGATGGCCTTCCAGAAGAATGGCCTACTTCAGGAGACCAGAAATAAGGTTCTGTTTGGGGCCACTGTTCCCAGCATTCTGTGGCTCTTCCTTAGTTGGCTCCCACCTAGCTTGCCCTTCCTTCGTGAGTTTTAATGGACAAGGCCTCATGCTTACAAGAGAAGTCTCCACTAAGTGAGCATACCATTTTGACTCCAGGGATGACACAGGACCCAGGATTTTTCTGAGGGATTTTCTTCAGCAGGACAACCTCACAGATGGTTGTGATTCTCATCATTATCACAAACACCATCATTATCACTGGATTCTAAAGCAAGCGCTCCTTGTCTTAAGAAGCTAGGAGCCAGGCCTAGTAATACAAGCCTATAGTCTGAGCTATTTAGGAGTATAGGACAGGAAGGTTGTGAGTTCAAGCCTGCCTGGATTGCAGGGTGAGATCAAGGCTAACGGAAGCAACTTATCTCAAATTTTAAAGACATGCATATTTAAATATGTCTGTTATATTTATAAATGGCTGAGGATCTATCCCAGAGGTAGAGAACATGTCTAGCATCATCAAGGCCTTGAGTCCACCACAAAAGAACCAGAGAAAGAGTTGGGAATACACTTTATAGTTGTTGGTTTCTCCATATTAGTAGAGTCCAACAGCCTAATAATATGAAGCCAAGGGAAAGGGGTTTTGACATAATTTGATTTTGTGTGATGATATGCCATTGACATAAAAATAGCCATACTCTCCTTCATGTTGTGACCTTCTAATCAAGAAAACGATAAAGACAGTATACTTCTTTGAATACCATAATTATTGTAGTCTATATATTACTTCATTATGTCAATACTTTTTCATAGGGCAATTTGTGCAGGAAAGATTAGTTATCTAATCTACAGACAAGTAGGTAGAGCCTATACAGGCCTTCAGAGTCTTGGGCAAAGAGGCAGGATCAGTCAACTAAAGTACACAGGCCAAATCCAGCTTGAAGCTAAGACTCACATTTATAATTGACATATATTAAAAAGGAAAAAAACAATTTTATTTAATTACTATATTTTGTATTTGTTCAGTAACATCTGTGGCAACATTTTAAAGCAAATGACATCTTTAACCTTGCCTCTTGGTCCATAAAGTAGAGAAAGTTCATTGACACTTGCGGTTGGTGTTAAAACCCCAGGGATAAACACCCCACAGGTTAGAGGCTGCCGCCTCACTGTCACCACCCTGGACAGGCTGATGTATCTGCAATCTAAATGTTCCTGGTAGAGACCTTCTGGGGTAGTGAAGGTAGAGAATGGGGGTTGGGAAGCAAGATGGGGTGCACAGTCACCCCTTTGTCAAAAGAAGCTACCTGTTGGCTGATGGTCGAAAAGATTTACTTTTCTTCTCTCTTAGGTTTTTTAGCTCATTGGATTTCAGGAAGAGGCAAGAAAAAGACACACTGTTGTTAGTCTGTGATTTTTTTTTTAAAACATCTTCTAGCTGCTCATCACAGCCCAAGAAATTTCTGGAGTCCTCAAGTAGTTTCTCTGGGCCAGCTCTCAGCACAGTGCTCTAAGTAAACCCACCAAACCCAGCAGGGAAGGAAGCTGTAAGCAAACAAGGGCACATGGCCAGAGGCTCAAAGCTGGGCCACTCCTGACCTTGGGGAATTGTTTTTGTTTGAAAGTCCACTCAGGAAGAGAACAGGGCAGAGCCAATGGCCCAAGGTGGCCTGAGACACCCCTGCCCAAGCAAACCTGTTCTCAGCATCTTAGTACAATAAGCACAACTATGTACACCAATCCCACCTCCCCCAAAGCTTAGCCACAGCCACAGCCACACACACACACACACACACACACACACACACACACACACGCTCAAACTGCCACAGCCCACAGTTGCTGTAATTAATTTCTCTTCTTTTCTTCCTTAACCCAGAGTCACCTCCACAAACCTCCAATAACCAGGGCCCCACGGGTCACTGGAGATGTTCAGGTTGTCTGACAACTTAATTAGATCATTTTTTTGATGACAGCCAGGCCTGCCGCGGTGGGTGAGCATGGGTGAAAAGCATAAAGCCTTAGAGAAAGGTGACATAAAATGTTCTTTCTCTGTCTTAGAAATATTTGCTCAATAATTAAGATTTCCGCCCTTCACGACAGGGGAGAGCTTTGATCTTCCTATAGAATTTTCTCCATACCTGGACAGAGTGTGCAAAGATCTTTTAAGTATATTATCCAGAGAGTGTACCTTTAAAAAGAACAAAAAACAAAACAAAAAACAACTAAATACTAAATTCCATTTATTTAGTCTTCTCTGTGAATCTCAGTTATTCCTGTGAATAGATAATATGCAGACATAATACAAACTTCAGAACTTACTAAAGGTTCCAGAGCAGTAAACCAGCCCCGGCCTCCCTTCCCTCCCTTTCCTGGGCCTAAGGGTTGCATCTTATTTATGGCACTAACTGTGCTGTCTGACCTTGCCCCAGTGTTTCCAATTACAAACCCCTGTATTGTCTGCGTCTGACATTATTAAGTTTTTAATGGGCTTTTATTTCAGATGGCTGAATAAGAATGGGATTCAAGAAATACACAACTGTGCATTCAACGGAACCCAGCTAGATGAGCTGTAAGTAGCCCTGGCTGCTCTTCCAGGCCATTTAGAGGGAAATGGCTCTTACAACAGGGATATTTATGTGGCTTTCTTTTTCTTATTCTTTCTCCAACTCCATCCCCAGGAATCTAAGCGATAACAATAATTTGGAAGAATTGCCTAATGATGTTTTCCGGGGAGCCTCCGGGCCAGTCATTTTGTGAGTAACTTCGTCTGTTTCCATGCAGAAGAGCTCAGTTTATATAAATTAGAAGTCAACTTAGTCCAGCTTAAAGAAGGGGAGGCAAACAAGGTCAATTTTGATCTATGATACCTGCAAAGATGTGTGGGGACAATTTAGGGTTATCTCTAGTATGACTTTAAATAAAGTGGCAACAATAATAACATGTAATGAGCATGTCCCAAGTGCCAGTATTCTAAAAGGTTAAAATGTGCTCTCAATCCTTACAAAACCCTCTGGGGTAAAAGGTGTTATTGCCATTTTGAAGAGAGAAAAACTGGATTACCTGGAGGAGTCAACCAACTCACTCAACAGTAATGCAACTTTTATAGAAGGGATTTCAAAACAAACTGACTCACGACACACACCAGTCACTCGGCTCCTTGTCTCTCCTGTGACATGGAAAGCTTGACTCTCCTACCTTATGCTCAGGACCCAGGATACGTATATACACGTCTTCAGTGCAGTGAGATGTATGTACACATTATTTTTGGATCTTCTTCCCAGATTCAGTGGGATGCATCAGTACCTCACTTGCTGCGTCAGAACGTCTTGCCCACCAGCACTTCCCCACCCCTAACCTGCATCAAAAGTGGCTCTGCCCTTGTCTCTTCTTATCCATACCCCCATCACTGAGGATCTTCTAAGTCCTGCCTCCAGTCCAAGTCCTTCTAAAGACCTCAGCCAACAGTAGCTTCCCCACTGTGACTCCCATTACCTGTGTGGGCGGGGAGCTCATGGGGACTCTGTATCACAATTACCAAAGGTATTTGTTAATGTGCTTTCCTGGACTCTATGCAAGATCCATTGAATTAACTAAAGAATATTCCTCAGGAAGAAAGCCATTTAAAAAGAAGAAAAGAGGTGTTGGAAGGCTGAAGAAGAAATAAATATACCTCTACCACACCTAAGGTGACACCCACCCACCCCCGTCTAAGTTCTGTGCAAACATTTGGTAGCCACACTCCTGTCCTCTTATTTGCCGGTCACTGAGGCTCCCATGCATAGTCATTTACCTACCTCCTTACCATCCTCCAACGTCGCTTTCACCTTCACAAATGGCTTGTGCTCTCTTCTGTGATAGAATCTTCGTACTTCCAGAGTCCCATTCCGTATGGCAGCAGAACAGTAACTACACAAATGTTTGTTATTGATGACAAGGGGTATTCTGTCATTATGAAAGAGGCTCTCCCCTTTGAAGAAAAGAAAGCATGTGTTAAGATAGATTTATCATCCTGAGGAAGTTCAAACATTAATCCAAAGTGCCTGAGTGGTGACAGGCACCATGAGCACACACAGGAAGCATGGCCTTGCCAAAGCAGAGGTGTCAGAGCAGACAGCCCTGGTGAAAACTAGGTCCTTTCCCTCTGTAAGTCTCAGCTGCCTCATCTAAAAAGCAGAAAAACCTGTGGTATCTATTTCTTTTTACTGTCTGAGATTTAAAGGCATGTATCCACAGATATGTCCATATGCATGTGTATGCATGGATGAATATCTTTCGCTGGTGGTATTTAACAGAGCCCCACCCTGGTGTACTACAGGACACCAAGAGTTCTTCATCCCAAGGACATTATATTTTCATGGAAGGGAAATCAGGTAATAATCATATAGCTTAATATATCAGATTATTATATTTGGTTTGAAGTACAATGTAGGACACAGTGGAGAGTACCAGGAATGTGGTCTAAGAACTCAAGTACATGGAGTATTCGGAACCCATAATGTTTAATGTTTTCTGCTCTGAGAGTTCTTGGAGAACAAGTGGACTCTGACAAAGTACTTCTGATGCTCTGTGGATGGGTAGAAGTTTGTCCATTTCACTTAGCTACTAGTCCTGAATGCCTTGGATGTTCTTACATGGGGACTGCTAGCTGTTCTTGGCAGAACATGTCAGTGGTGGGATATGCTTTCAATATGCAACCTGTCAGATCTCTAGAGCCATAACCTACTGTACACACCTGCAAATGTAGCATTGGATATGACTCACAGCTGGCTCATTATCCAGCTGAGACATCCAGGACCGAAAGAGGAAAGTGGCCCACTGAAGGTCGTACTTTAGATAGAAGGCATAAACCAGCCTTGACTTCTCACATCTCCATGTGTGCGCACCATAAACGCATCTCCTAAGACATCTGAAAATCAGTCACCAAACCCCCGACAACCGCTGTCCAACTAAAGTAAAAGGGAACACAGGTCAGCGATACAGAAACTCGGCACAGGTGGCCATGTGCTGAAGATGCATAAGCAGGATCCGGGCCAGGCACTAACCACTAACAATGTGTCTCCTCAGAATTTAACAGAGATCACAAAATACAAGTCTCCTGTCCACGCCTGCTGCAAATGCAGGCCGGAGAAAAGGCACCAGCAAACACAACTCCGCAGGGCCCTTACAGGCCTGTTTCCATCCCCGGTGCTGCTGTAACGTAGATGCACAGGACAAAGGGAGCAATGTTGGTAGAAAATTCAAGGGAACTCAAAAACACTTTGATTGACTCAAAATGGTCGGGAAGCCCGGTGTAGTGGCACACCTATAATCCCAGAACTCTGGAGGCAGGCACAGGAGGATTGCCATGAGCTGTAGTTAGCCTAGGTTGGCTACATAGTAAGTTTGGGGCCAGCCTGAGCTACAGAGTGAGGCCTTGTCCCAAAAAGCACCCCCCAAATGGCATTAAGCAAGAATAATATTCCACATATCCTGTTGTGTCAATGCATGAGGATATGTGTGTAAGAACCCAGCATGTAACTGCTAATTTCCTTCTGTCCCTTCAAGGACAAGTTATCACTTTAACTTCGAGCCTCCCTTTCTGGGGCATTCAGGTTATTCCGAATGTCCTTCAGGCCTCTCTGCCTGATAACTTGGATTCTGGCAGATGACAGCCTATCTCATTTCCTACTTCTGCAGTGTTGTGCAGCAACTCAATTAAACCTGCCCAGTGGGCTCCTTGTTTGGATGGCCAGCTTCCTCCAGTGCTTTAAACAAGTGAGTGGAAACAGGGTTATGCACAGACAGCCCACAGCACAGCAGCTGCTGCTCAGGCCACAGCCTGAGCTGTGTCTTGGGTCAGTTACCCAATTCCCACCTCAAATAAGAGTGCTACAGGCTTCTGAATCCAGGAGGGTCGCTACAAAGTGCTCTCTGGGTAGATGGGGAGTACCTGGTAGAAGGAAGCCCAATCTGGCTGCGTCGGTAACTGACTGGCAAAGCATCTCTAACAGGTCAGTGGATCCCACAGGGAGCCCTAGAATGAAGATGGGTCCTCCAAACTCTACTGCAATACAGCAAGGAAGCATGCCTCTCCATAAGCATTTGTTGAGTGTAGTTGACCCTGGGAAGGAGTCAGACTATGTAAGTCAGCCTAGGGCAGCTGTGAGTGGTTTTCAACTGAGCTGCAGTGGGCTTTCTAAATATGATTGAGCATTGCAACCATCTGGAGGCTTTTTAAACCACAGATTGAAAATTTGCACCCTAAAAATGTTTGATTCATTGACTCTGGGAATAGATTAGTTAGTAGAGTGCTTGTCTACCAGGTACAAAGCCCCCAGCACCCCATGAGATCAGGCATGGTGCCACACATTTGTAATTGCTGAACCAGGGCTGAAATAGAAGTAAAACGTAGAGGCAAAAGGATCAGAAGTTCAAGTTCATCCCTGGCTGCATAGCAAGTTGGAGGCCAGCCTGAGTCACAGGAGACCCTGGCTCAAAAGCGGGGAAGGATGTGGTTCAGCATCTCAGGGCCAGACCTTAAGAACTGGTATCTCTAACAATGTCCCCCAACAGTGCTGATGCAGATAGACCCAGAAGCACTCTAAACATCCCTGCTCTAGAGCTAGTGTTGAGAACTGAAAAAGCCTTGCTCAGTCTCCGCTAAGGTGGGTCTTCCTCTCCCAAAGCCTTTTTCTTTATCTCTATCAGATAAGTCCAAAAGCTTCTAAGGGAATTGGGAGAGCTCACCCAAACTGTTGGCTGCTTTTTCCTGAAGGTGAAATTTCTAGCTACATGAAGAACAGTGAGTCTCGGAACACACAGTGAGTCTAGGCTGTTTGATTGCAAAGAGGAAAGAGTGTAGGAAGCCGGGGGCGTGCCGACAAGCTCCATCACATTTCAAAGGCACAGCAGTCTCAATCCCCCTTATAAATCTTGACCTTGAACATCAGCAGCCATCTAAGTTTTCACCTGATATTCTTAACTCACTTGAGCTTTCTTTCTCTCTCTCTCTTTTTTTTTAAAGCAATCAAGCAATTGCTGTTTCCTTGGGAAAGAGTTTCCTGTGGGGAAAATTTAATGTATTGCCTTTGCAGGCTGGAGCCAGTACAATCATATTCTGATGGTTTATCAAATTGATTTGGCTATAGCTCAGATTCATTTGATAGTTCAGATTCAAACACTGAGTTATTTGTATAAGAATGATTCTCTTCCATTACCAGTGTACCCACAGTCCTATAGATAGTAAATTGCCTTTTTATCCCGCCTGGGATCATGAAAGAGCGGTCTTCTAGCCATCTGTCAATGTAGAATACACCAGAAATATGCTCTCACTTATGGAAATGATTGACCTGTAATAACATCTTTGCTGGGAAAAATAGAAATTGTTGACATCAAATTTGTGGCAGTGGCTCTAACAGACTTTATTAAAGGGGCATGGGGCACCATTTAACTCCTGCCTGTCCTGCCTCGGTGTTGGTACCAACTGCTCTCTCCCTTGCCACTCTGTAATTCAACACCAAGAATCCCAACAATGTTGAAACAATTGAGGATGACTAAGTCTCTGGGGACCCAGCCATGAGGCTGTGGTGTCTCTGTCGGTACTTGGAAGGATCTAAAATTTCAAGACCATTCATTTCCAAAATATAGCATGTGTTGAAATACTAACCAAAGTGATACTTTAAAATGAAAAACTATGGTCGTTCAACCCAACCGGACTAAAAGACAAGGATTAGACAAACCAGCCCACAGCTCCTGCCACCCTGTCCAGCCACCAGGAGCAAGGGCAGAGTTGAACATTCTCAGGTACTCATTGAGGATTCAATAGAGGATCTCCTACTGTGTGTCTAACACTAGGCTAGGTGTGAGGAACAGAGAGAGTTGAACCAAAGCAGTGCCTACCCTGGAGTGCTTGGTGGAAGGATAGATGCTACCTGCTAGTTCAATAACCATGCTGGGAATCTTCAGCATAGGCTTTGGTAACAGACCAGATTGCTAATTGTAACACCATGGACTCCGGGTTCGGGTTGGAGTTTTGAAACATGTCTTACACTGTAGCCTAGGCTGGCCTGGGGCTCACTGTGTAACTCAGGCTACCGTGAAATTCCAGGAGTCCTCCTGATTCAGCCACTCCACTACTGAGATTATAGGCATGGGCCACCATACTGGACAGCAGTGACCAGTGATGTAACAGTGTGAAAAGACAGCGTTCTTCAATCCAGGCCTGAATTTGTAATAGTCACTCTATGTCCTTTCTGTCTGAAATCCCCTTTCTTTACAGTTTATTTAATATACAAATTATTGAATACATAATGTGTGTAAGTCTCCAGGTACTCAAGACTAAAAAACTCCAGATTTCAATGAGTCATTTTTCCATCTTTAGAAATTCTAAATTTCTGTCTGGTTTTTCAAAGCTCAGAGTTCTAATCCTATCCCATGGTTCCCTGTACTCTTTAAAACATGATTGCCCAGAATGGCCCACATTGTGTTTTGCTTTGTATTCTGAGCTGTTGTGAAATACTAACCAAAATGTCACTAAGCATGTAGTGATTGCATTAATCACAATTCTCCAGAGACACATAACCTATGACATAGACAGATGTAGAGATACATGAGATGAGATTCATCGAGGGAGTTAGTTCATGTGAATGTGAAAGCTGAGAAGTCCACTGTAGGCCATCAACAGCAGGGAGGGCCAGGAAATATGGTGGTGTAGCATGGTCCAAATTAGAGTCCTCAGTCAAAGATCAGAGAGCCCAAGGAATTACTGTTACAAGTCCAAAGGCTGGTGAACCTGGTCTTTTGCTGTGTGGGGGGTGAGGGTAGGAAAAGAAAGATAAGCTAGCTCCAGAAGAGAGAGGCAGTGTGAATTTATCTTTCCTTTCTTTGCTCAAGCCAGGAAACCAGCCAACTGGATGAAGCCCACACACATTGATTGAGGCAAATCTCCCCTTACACTCTACTGATTCAAGTGCAATC